GGAGGGAGGGAGGGAGGGAGGGAGGGAGAGAGAGAGAGAGAGAGAGAGAGAGAGAGAGAGAGAGAGAGAGAATCAACCTGTAAATGAGAGACAATGCCAAGTTCCTGCTTTACTGAAATAATTTCATAGCCATAAAAAGCCACTGCACTGATTTAGTGAAAGTTATTGTCTGTTTCTGCACAGAATGATGTTCAGAAGTGGGCTCAAACAGTGGGTCTGCACCCTATTGCAACTGACTGGACCGTTTCTAGCCTCCGAATGTTTATCAATGCCACCAACACACTGAATATCTCTTATGACTACCTTGTTGGGTCGCCTCCACTCCAGAAAAGTAAGTACCAACAAAAGGCAGATCAAATACAGGTAATTCTTGACTTACAACCACAAGTGGGACCAAAATTTTCATCGTAAGTTAGTGGAGTCATAAAAGGAGTCATCACATGACCAGACCCAATTTTATAAACATTTTTACCACAGGTATTTAAGTGAATCAGCATAGATATTAAGCAAGTCACCCAGTCTTTAAGCTGTCCAGTTGATTTCATTACTGGAAGCCAGCTGGAAAGGTTACAAATAGCAATCATGTCACTGCGACCATAGTAAGTGCAAGCTGGTTACCAAGAGCCTGAATTGCGATCATGTGGTGGTGCAACAGTTGTAACTTCGAGGACTAGCTCCAAAGATAAGTGGAATTCATTTTAGGACATCAAAACAAGCAGGCCTCTGTGGTGGCTAAGATTTTTAAAGCAAAAATAAATCTCTGTTCCTACTTTTAGTCAAAAGAAAGCAATAATATTCATGCCAATTTATCTCTATAGATAGGACAACTATGCAGTTTTTTTCTGCTCACTGGTAGCCCTCATGCTGCCCACCCAGTGGGTAATAGAGCTGGTAGATCAGAATGTGTACAATGGCAGATTTTTCTTCTTCATTCCTATTTCCAAGTAAAGAAGGAATGAGGCCGTTGCTATTGCTCAGGCTCTCTTCTTATTCTCAAGAGGATGCAGTTGGCTGGTGTGTCTCATTTCCAGCTCAATGATTCATTCGACATTTTGTCTCCCCTCTCCTTTAGGAATCAGATTTTTTGGTTATAGTTAAGGAGAGGAAAGGATGCAAGCAGAGGAATAGGCGCCCACTAAAAGTTTTATGTATCCTTTTTAAGGTACATGTGATGCCTTTGAGTAAGTGTTGACTCCTGAAGTCTGCCTGGACAAGTCCCTGTAGTTTTCTTGCCAATATTTTTGGAAATGATTGCCATTGCTTCCTTCATAGAGCTGAGAGAAATTAACTAGCCCAAAAGTCACCCAGCTGGTTTTGTGCCTAAGGCAAGATTAGAATCCACGGTCTCTGGTTTTTACCCTAATGCCGTGACCCATACACCCAACTGGCTTTTATATCTTTCCTACTGCCTAAGAAATATAAAAGGAAGAGGGCACAGTGTCTGATTTGAGAGGGATCAGCAGTACTTCTGGATTGTGTGTCTATGCTGTGGGCACCTGGCCAAATATGCCTTTATGGAGCCATTGCCAACTGCACTGCTGATCTTCTTCTTCCTAGTGTATTCCCGCAAGTTCAGGGTTCCTCTTTCCGGATCATTGAATGTTGCTTTGTACAGTCAGCTGCATCTCCAGGGTGCAGGCCCATAGCTTGCATATCTTTGTTGATGGTGTCTTGCCATCTCCGTTTTGGGGGTTGACGGCCATTAACCTCTAGTTGATAGGCAGTCTTGGCAACGGTGGAAGTTGCTGCTCTCAGGACATGTTCATACCAGTGGAGCCAGCCTTCTCTCATCTTCTCTATAATTGGTGCCACACAAAAAATTGTTGAATGGTCATCACAAATGATGCACTACACTGCAGTGCACCTGCATTGCTGATGGAAATGAGAAATATGCAGCTGTTGGTGTTTGGCCAGCGTCATCTTCCCCAAGTTTTTGCTCCTTCCATTATTGTACTTTTATCGTGGAGGCTATTTTTCCCTTCTCTGTTTCTGATTTGACTTTGCCAGCATATTGTAAACTCAATGAATTTTTTCAAGGCATCTTAAGGAAATGCACTGATGTTCCAGGTAGCTATAGGTTTTTCTTGCACATAATGAGCCTGTCTTGTGGAAAAGGCTGATTTAGACAATTAAATTCATTTAGCAATGCATGAACGTGATATAAGAACACAGTAAGTACATAATAAAACTTCTGTTTTTGAAAACACACGTGAAGGCTGATTTATCTCTCCTTTTCTATTCATTGCCTCTACAACTGGACATGGAATTGTCTAAATATTTTAAAATCCCTAAACTAGAGTTGTTACTACCTCTTGTAATAATTTCCATCAGTGGAAAATTATTTTACTTGTTTGTTCTAAACTTAGTAACAATCGTTTTTAATTAGTGCCCTGGGTTTCTTGTTGATTGATACATATATCAGCTACATAAGGCTGCAAATATACAGAACAAATAGCTACATGACTTGACACCCTGGATAGCAAGGTTCGAACTTACAAGGTGCATACATTTTTTCTTTTCACTGCAGAGTTTCTGACATTAGGACTCTGTTCTGTCAAGCGGATGAGACAGGACTATCTCCTGAATACCCTGACATCCATCTTTGAACAATCTTCTGAAGAAGAGATGAAGGAAATGGTGGTAGTGGTACATTTAACAGATCCAGATCATAAGTGGAATTCTCAAATGGCATTGGAAATTGCCAGAAGTTTTCCTAATCAGCTCCATCAGAGAAACCTAGTGGTTATCCACACACGTCTTGAGTATTACCCTCCCTTGGAAGGTCTAAAAAGGAATTTTAATGATCCTGAGGATCGGGTGCGCTTTCGATCAAAACAGAATGTTGATTATGCTTACCTCATGAACTTTGCATCCAACCTCTCCACCTACTACCTCATGATTGAGGATGATGTCCGTTGTACCAAACACTTCCTCACAGTAATCAAAAGAAATCTGGCATCCCAGGAGGGCACCTCTTGGGTCACTCTGGAATTTTCCAAACTTGGTTACATTGCCAAGCTCTACCGTTCTACTGACCTCCCCCGGCTTACTCGATTCCTCATGCTCTTTTACCAAGAGATGCCTTGTGATTGGCTTTTTGTGCATTTTCGTCTCCTGCTTACACAAAAGGAGGAAATTCGTTTCAGGCAATCCCTTTTCCAGCATGTTGGTCACTATTCCTCCTTCCAGGGCACACTAAACAAACTGGAAGATGAAGACTTTGAAGAGGATTTCTCTAAGATCCCTGACAATCCTCCAGCAGATATAATAACCGATATTGCAACATTTCGGAATTCTATCCCCAGTAAGGCTTACAGTAGTGTGATAGGCTACTTTTGGGGTAAGGCCCCTTCTGTTGGCAACTCCTTCACGCTTATCTTTAAAAAGGCTGCCCCCATCTTCCGCATCCAGATCCATACAGGCTCTAAGGAGTTCCCAGAAAGCTATCTCCATGAAGGGCTTGTAGCATTGGGCACTAATAAATTGCAAACATTACGACCAAGGTGTGCTAATTATATCACCATTGGGCACTTTACCAAAGGAATTTTTGACAAGCAGAACCTAGAGAATAGTATCACCTCTGACACTGTTTGTGTGCAGATTTTGGTAACTAACACTCAGAGTGAGTCATTGATCATAAGTAACATAAGCATCTGGATCAAGCCTAAAGCCTGACTTCATTTGAAGGATTAGGATCTCTTGCAGTATAAGAACATTACTTGCAGATAGATCCTTTCTGGAGAGAAGACTCCAAGATGCAGTGGAAGAAGTCAGTTCTGTGTTCTCAGTCCTAATGATGATATATTTGTGTTCTATTACCTTATAACATAAGAGGCCACTAACAATGTTCTTCAAAAGATGGCTACAACTGGCATTGTCTTCTGCTTGTCAAAGACCCTCCTTTTCCAATTGAATGTTTCCAGGATTATTTTGTATCAATCTCTTTTCCCCCACAACAAGAGAGTTCTGTAGCTCTATATGAAAAAAACAGTAAGATAGGACCCGATCATGGCCTGTTAGGAACCGGACTGCATAGTGTGGTTCCTAACACAGGAACCGCAGCGAGAAGCGAGTGAAAGTGAAACTGTACTTGCATGGGATCTAGTTTGTTTTCTCCATCTCCCCCCACCCCTTCTCAGTTCTTGGAAAAATTGTCTTCCACAAAACTGGTCCCTGGTGCCAAAAAGGTTGGGGATCACTGAGATAGGAAGCTGAAATAAGTTCAGCTGGTAGTATCATAAACAACTTTCTGTTTCTGCTATTCAAGCTTTAAATGATAGTTTGGAAAGATGAAGGTGATGTGATAAAAGTTCCTTGAAGCAAAATGTATAACTTAAGATCTGTTAACTTCTAAATTAAACTCAAGGATCTGCTCTTTGGCTTCAGAAATAGCTTGTTCTAGCTCCATCACTGTTAGTACTTGAATTGAGGAGCCACATAAAGAAAAATGCTTGTGTTTGTGTGCAGGGATTTGTAATAAGGATTTAAATATATCTATAGGAGTAAGTAGGGCCAATGAGTCATTTCTGTAGTTTTCATCCTTGCTACACGGCCTTGCAAATGACAGGACAATAAGTGATTCAGGTGGGTAACTAACTGTTCACAGTTACATGAAGTAATTTTTACAGAAGTGCAATCTTTTTCTTAAAACTATAGGAACAATATTTTGTACATCTGAAGAAATATTTTTAGATTTTTTCTTAACAAAATGTGTGCAAACACATATTTAATGAATCTAATTTAAAATTTTGATTGCATAATATTTTACATAAAACGCTGACTGATGAATGTAATTTAAACAGCTGTCCCATAATCTAATATAGTTTTTTCCAACCTTGGTCCTCCAGAACTCATATCATTCAGATAAAAAAAGGCTTGAACCTCAGTCAAGAAAGTAACTTGAGAAAATATCTCACACAAATCCATTATTTAGTTCAGGTAGCGATAGACAAGAGGGAGAATGAAGCACATTCAGACTTGAATTCTGTTGTTATACCTTTACAATAAAATAATGCTGACCTATATGGTATTTCTGGAAACAGAGGGATTTAAAGTTTAATATATTTTGGTTTGGTTTTTTTACAGTGAATTGGTATTTAGTTGATTTGATTGATAGATAATAGATTTTATAAATGACATATTTGTTAAGAAAATGTGATGTAAAATAGTAATATACAACATACAAGTACAGGTATAGATGAAAAATGTATTTGTAGACCTGCAATGCAAGAGATTGAATTTATTAGATTTGTGTGAGATACAAGCTGTTAACTGTTAATGCCCCCAAATATATTAAACTTCAAAGCCCTCTGTTAATAGTCTCTCATTATATTTAACTTGCAGAAACTCCACAAACAGCTTCGGAACTTATCCAAACCATTGTCTCTAATCAACATTGTTAATTTTGCCTCCCCTACTAATTCCAGCAGTTTCAAAATCCATTTGTCCAGTGTTGGCGCATTCCTTTTTCTTTACAATATTTGGCACACACAATCCTTGAAGCTGACACCGTGTACAAAAATATGGTAACCAGGGTGGAGGTCGTATGTTTACTGTTAAATTTATGTTTGTTGCATAAACCTTTTTTTCCTTTTCATTTTTCTGTATCTTATTTGTAATTCTTGCTTGGTTGTTTTCCTTTATTCGATATTGATATTTTATTTTTGGAAAAATATTTTTTTTAGGAAAAAAAAACCTGTAAAAGGTGTTTCAATTCAGCATAACCTATGACATTGTTACCAGTAATGCAAATTTACACTGCGGCCTAAGCCCAAAGCCAAGCAGAATCAACTGACTCAAACTTAAGTGGTAGCTATTCTAGTGAGCACTTTCAATTCTTCATTTTATTCAGTTTTTCTAAACAAACCATTTAACAACAGTTCTGATTCCTCCATAAGAATTACAAAATCCTCATGGATAGTTTACATCCATATTTTTAAAAACTATTGAAGATTTACGGGAAATCATCATGCACTGAATTCATTGCCTTTTCAACATATATTCTGAATTTTAATTCTGGATTCCTTTTTTATTATGTGATTTTGTTCTCTGTACTCTGTTCTCAGGCATATTTGAATCAAAATATAACCAAATATTTATACAGATTATGTTACATGGTAATGTAATGTAACATGGTACGTGTTAGCTATTTAAAGTGTAATCTATTATAAAATGTAGCTAATCCAACTAATATGAGTAACTTTTCGGTAAAGTTATTCTGTCTGTTCTGATTTTTTTTTTGATTTTTTAATATGAACCAAAACTTTCTAATCTATTGGAATAAGGTGACATTCTCTAAATCTCAGAAGAATTTTTCTTCCTCTTCTTCCTGTTTTGCATATCTGGAAAATTCTTAGCATGCCCAGTGACTTCCCGTGTAGGTAATTAACATGCAGATAGATGTGTCCTAAAATAAAATTAACAACAATGTAAAGTACGCAGTTTGTATTAATATTTGTAATGCAGCTTTTGCAGAGTACTGAAAATTAGGATCTCTGTAATGGAGAAGAGCTCCCTGGAAATAGCTACATGATATATTAACACATATAGTGGAACCTCCGTTTACAACCCTAATTCGTTCCAGGACTTTGGTCAGCACCCGATTTGGTCGTGACCGGAAGCAAGACTGACTGTGCATGCACGCACACAAAAAAACGGTGTGGGAGGGGAAATTGGTGCGACAGGAAAAATTGCAGCTGTGATTGATTGCAGATTTTTTCATTTGTTTTGGTCATGGTCAGAAGTGTTTGTTCCACTATAGTTTGGATTGTACATTTATATTGACCATATATCCCCTTTCAGGTAAGTAATGTTAGGCAGAGTGAAGAAAAGGAATAAGAAATAATATTCCAAATAAAGGAACAGGGTATATTTGAATCTGAATTACAGAATATACCTAAAGCCGAAGAGTTCAGATAAGAAAGTAGGACTATACAGTGCATAAGATTGGACTTGATTCCAAATAATTGCTTCAGAGCTCAAATGGGTTCCTGTCATCAAGTTACTAAAGCAGCCATATCTTCTCAAGCTCACATGGCTATTGCTGGGAGGCTTTTGCAGCAGCTAATCCTGGAAACAGATATGACCACTTTTATAATTTGCCAAGAGGTGTTGCATCATCTGCATTTTAACTCAGCTTTTCAGCCTCAAATCTGAATGCACAAATGCAACTGGAAACCGTACTTGAAAGGGGTGAAACTTGAAAGTTCAAAATGGTACTTTTTTCTGTTCGAGTTTGTCAGTAAAACAATAAAACCTCTGTGCAGTATTCTGATCAGAATTTGTTTAACTACTATCATATCTGCATTATTAATCTTCAACCTGGTAATAAAATACTGGTGCAAAACGTGACCTCTACTCTTCCTGACAAAGTGCACAAGAATATCCCTTGATACATTTCTTAACTTTGCAAACCGTATGTTGATTCCATACTCTTTGTCAAGTTTGTTTGTTTGTTTGTTTGTTTGTTTATTTG